AGAGAGAGAGAGAGAGAGAGAGAGAGAGAGAGAGAGAGAGAGAGAGAGAGAGAGAGAGAGAGAGAGGGGCAGCATATCATGCATGTAAAGCACGGAGTAATCCGAATTCTGGGTCGTTCTATATTTTGCCTGCCGACAACCTTCCAGACTCCAAGGAATGAATGTGGTCTCCTCTAGGGCCCAAATCCTTGAAGCAGCCTTAGGTATACTTAACAAGCACACTTACGTGCACTGGGTGGTGTGCAGAAACTGTTACTTGTGTACGGACACCGCACAATGGGAAAAGAAAGAAAAAAAAACACTTGTCAATGAATGAATCTGGACGGCTTACAAGGACACCTCTCCACGAATTTGCCCAATAAGTTGGCAATAAGGGAGACGGGTAGAGGTGGACGTGACAACAATGGTTTAGTGCTGGCAGTGCTCGATAGCAATGAAGAGTTGTCGGAATCCCGTACGGACACCGCATCAGATTCTGTGATCCGTGAAACGTCGTACGGAAATGGCACACGGAAGAGACTCTAAAAAAATTCTCCAAAAAGGAGGCTTTTGATGGCCAACGGTCGTTGAGCTGGATGTCTCGAAAAAGGAGACAGCTAACTCAACCAAAAGTGGCGAGAGGGTAGGGGACGTAGCATTCCAGAAAACGCCGTTACGTCTCTTATTTTGTTGCAAGGAAAAACGACTATTGTTGGTATGGAAATTAGAAAAAAAGAAACAGAAGGGACCGCTAGATCACTCGGACAATTCGCATCTCCGCCGTCGCCTACAGTCACACGGCGTTGAAAAGTAAACATAGACCTAGCTCAACGGACATTCCAGCCTGCTCGCCCCTGGGGCGAGTTCCCTAACTTATAGGAATTATGACCCATTTTCGCCTCGAAAGTTTGCCTGGGCGGTGTACTTGTGGGGGGGCTGGCAGTTTTTTTTTTTTTGTCCCGTGCAGGACCAGTGCCAACTCTGATGCATGGGACCGAAGAAAAATTCCGCCCCCGTGCGCCAGGCCCACCCTGGGGCGAGTTCCCTAACTTATAGGAATTATGACCCATTTTCGCCTCGAAAGTTTGCCTGGGCGGTGTACTTGTGGGGGGGCTGGCAGTTTTTTTTTTTTTGTCCCGTGCAGGACCAGTGCCAACTCTGATGCATGGGACCGAAGAAAAATTCCGCCCCCGTGCGCCAGGCCCACCCTGGGGCGAGTTCCCTAACTTTTAGGAATGACTCATTTGGGCCTCAAAAGTTCGGCATGCATGGAGGCTGTACTTGACACTTGTGGTTTAAGGGTGTACCCCCAACGTTGTTGTTTCCATCTGATTTCATCAGGACTCTTAACTCTTGATCTGTCCGAAAAACAGTTAATATCTACATGTGTGTACAATCCAGTTACACTCGCAGTGTTGGGTTCTGGAGTCCTTGCATCGCGATGCATCCGTGGCGCTGCAGTGTCCAGAAACTGGGGGATGAATGATTCATTCAAGTTGCAACAGGTTCAGATGGCTGCAAGAATCCGAAGATTCTAAGAAGACTAAGGGCACAACAGACGATTGGGGTTCATTATTTACAGATAGCAAAAGCATTTTTGAGTGGTCCCTTCGGCTACCTCCTGCTGCCATCCGTGGTCAAATAGTATCTCCCCCTGGCTGCCGCTTAAGGGCCCCACTATTCGGGGTTGAGATGTTGAGGAATTCCCCAGCCTCTGTTTCACAGGTTTGATAGAGAAAAAAAAGAGAAAAGAACAAAAAAAGTCTCTCTGCTGCTGCAGTTTGTGTTCCGCGAAACTCAGAGAAGGTTTGTTTTCACGTGTCGTCACGCAGAAAAGGCAATGAAATTGCCAGTCAATTTCTTCTTCTTCTTCTTCTTCTTCTTTTTCCTTTTTTCGTTTTTATCCATGCTATATTCTTCTCTCAAATCTTTCATTGTCTTTCGCATTCTTTCAGTTCACCTTCACCACCTCTACGACTACTCCTAAGGCTTAGTACACAGGGGACCCCTCGGAAGAGTCGGAACATAGTTTTTGTTGTCTCTCTCCAGCCATATGTCTTGTCCTGTTTTTTCTTGAATCAAACATATTTTAATAAATTTTTATGGTCCTGGCTTTCAAAAAAAAAAAAAAAAAAAAAAAAAAAAAAAAAGAACCACTCTTATAAAACCGGGATTCCGTAGCCAAACTAGGCTGCGAGAGGCACTTCCAGCCAGTCCCATCCCCAACCACGGACCTCCCACAGTGAACATGCCTGTCTTCTGCCAATCCCATGCAGATCTCTAGCTGCAAACCCTAGTCTATGTTAATACTACCAAAAAATTTAATCCTATTCAAATGTATATTATCAGGCCTTTTACAAACTTTTGTTTTTTCACGTTTCTTTTTGGGTGAGCAGGAGGCTTCACGGGCGTACTCACACTAGTTCCTAAAAATCTCAAAATCACAAAATGAGTGGCCAGGTAGAGCCCTCTGCTTACAAGCACTCGATATGGGCGTTCATTTTGTGATTTCGCAATTTTGCGAATTTGAGGGCCTAGTGTGAGTATGCCATAAGTTTCTAGTTCGTTTTCAAGAGGGGCCACGCAGAAGGCAATGAAATTGCCAGACTTTTTTGTTATTATTATTATTATTTTTTTTTAACTTATTTTGTCTTTTTTTTTTTAATCAAACATGTTCTTATGGTCTACTTTGATTTTGGTTAAGGTAGATTATCATTTACAGTGTAATCAGTGAGGGGATTCTGCAGACTGTCGAGGGTTCAGCCTCCTGATGAGTCGGTGAAACTCCGACGAAACAGTTTGTCACAGCCCCTCGTTTGTTGTCCTCTTCTCTCTCCCTGCCTACGGTTTACCGGGCAGTTCTATTTGACGATATATATATATATATCATCACAAACAGAACTGCCTGGTAAACCGTAGGCAGGGAGAGAGAAGAGGACAACAAACGAGGGGCTGTGACAAACTGTTTCGTCGGAGTTTCACCGACTCATCAGGAGGCTGAACCCTCAGCCTCCTGATGAGTCGGTGAAACTCCGACGAAACAGTTTGTCACAGCCCCTCGTTTGTTGTCCTCTTCTCTCTCTCTGCCTACGGTTTATGTCGCGTCATAAACCACAAAAAAATATTGACAAAAATTTGAGGCCGCACGGGTCCCAAAAAAAAAGGGGGGGAAGTTTGTTTGTGTGTGTGTGTGTGTGTGTGTGTGTTTTGTGAGATGAGTCCACTGCACCTTGCGATGCAGCGAGCCGCATATGTAAGGCACATATAAGACACAACATAACATAATGCCAATAGCACGGACATCATAGCATCGAATGAATCACACCCTGATCCATGCTAGTATTCCATCCGACCAGGGATGCACGACCTCACTGACTTCCCAAAGAAGACACAAGGAATGGAGCCCAAGGGCGCTAAGCCGTGAGCTGAAACAAACAATACTGTAACATAGCAACTAGGGGAAGGCAGAACAAAAGCAGCGAGAGAAAACGACATGCCGCATCAACAAAGGGCGGAGGCTGGATGGCAAGGGGGTGGCGGGTGGGCAGAGAAACAGCAGGCCACAAAGCAAACAGCACAAGGCAGCAAAGCAAATGGGCTGGAGGGCATGGGGGAGGCGGGTGGGCAGGCAAACAGCACAAAGCAACAAAGCACACAGGGCGGAAGGCACGGGGTAGGCGAATGGGAAAGGGAACAGCGTAAGACAGCGAGGGAAACAACAGCAAGACAAATGACGACAAGGCAAAAACAACACCCAAAAAATACAAGTAAAAACCGGGCAAAAACTGAAAAAAATAAAAGTTGATGATGACAACATTGTTTCGTCGGAATTGCACCGACTCATCAGGAGGCTGAACCCTCGACAATCTGCGGA